TGGTTAGGGTTCATCCTAATAATCTCATTTCACCTCTTTAATTAAAGCCCTTATCTCCAAATATATTTGAGGTATTGAGGGTTAGTATCTCAACATTTTTGAGTGAGACATAATTCTGCTCATAACAATGTAACATAACACAATTAGTCACCACCCTTATAGCTGAGGTAAGGGCTCCAACATAAATTTCCTCATCTCCCTTTGCCAGGGCTGAGATCAAACTTAGCTAAAGAAAGCATGACTGTGGTTCATCAGATGGCAGAGAAGTCACGACGGTGGTGCACCAGTGGAACTTGCTAGAAATTGTCCTTCAGAACTTCCTGGAAATCTACCCTCTAGGTGCTGAGGGAGCTGTTTGTGGGAAGGTGTCTCAGTGGAGATATTCTGCTACAAAACCATCTGAAGAGGGTGCTGGGGGAAGTTGTAGGCTGTTGGGCACACTGGCTCCCAGGCACAATACATGAACCTGGTGCTAAGAAGCCATCCCCTCTACTGGAACCTGATTCTGCAAGAGCACAGAACATAACCCAGAACCAGGAAGAAAGACTCTTTCCATTCTGTGATGTCTCTCCAGTGCCCCCTGCCAACAAAACTTAACTTCAAGTCGTTAGCAGAGGAAACTACTTAAAGGGCTCAGTTCAATTTTCACAGAACAGACAAAAAAGGGTGAATTTGATGTTGCAAGGTAACAGGTATAACAGAGATTCCTCCTTTCCTGAAAGAAAGAATCTGTTGATGATAACATGTATAGTATTCTCAACTGGACTGGTCTGAGAAGTATTTTAGATTAGGTAAATTCTCTTTACAAGCCAAATGATGTATAGTGATTGAATGTTTGAAAAAAATGAGAATGAAAAGATAATAATGATGATAAACTAAGATGAAAAACTAAAAAAAAAAAAAAAAAGAAATGCTATTTGATGATGATGATGATGTGAATAGTAATGCCTTTGCCTTGACTGATATGCCTGGTAATCATGCTGGAAAGAGAAATGTTATACACTATAAAGATATATGTGATTAAATATAATATAAAGATAAATAAATAAAAGATTAATTAATTAATTATTTTTTAAAAAGAAAGGAATTCTTCCTGGATCCCAAGCTCCCCATTCTCCTTACCTGGAAGAAGCCTGTTTATGCCTCGGCAGGAGCCAGTTTGAGTTTGGGCGGGTAGGGGGG